TTAATTCCTATTTAATCAGATTTAACAACAAGAGGAAGAAAACACAATAACTGCACTATAGAAATTTCAGATGCACAGTTTTAATGGAAATCATGATTTCATACAATGTGTAGGACCTTTTTTACTATATGTAATATTGCAACACACTTTGACATTTTTGTCCTAACATGATTCATTTGGGTTCCAAAACAATTTGTGGTCGCTAATAAGCCTTAAAGTGTTTTGTTTTTACATCATGTTGTGAGATAATACTAAGAAAAATGCACCTGTATCATTTTTATTTTAGGCAATAGAAATAGTCTTTGTTGATTAAACAACACATCGCTGTTGGGAACCAAGAAACCAGTACGGTATGTTCACCTAAAGGTTAGCTGGAGGTCAGCGAGTGGCGTGTCATGGCTGTGCTCTAACCCCGCCACCCCTCCCGTTTCCTCCTCCTCATTTCTCCTCACCTCCTCCTTACCCATTCCTGTGACAAAGAGAGCCAGTTTGGTTGCCAGGGAAACAGGCTTTTTCCACAGTGATGTTAGAACACGTGGGAAGGGCAGGGCGGCTTTTGTTTCGTTCGCGAGATGAAGGATTCTCCGCATGCATGTTTAATCACCAGACTTATGGCCCCTGAAGCCCAAGAGCCCCAGCCCATCTACCACCGCCTGATTATGCTCGATGGAGCTCCTGACTCTGTTGTCTTGCCTGTTTTATCATACTTCACGACTCCCACAGCAGCTAACCAAGCCATTGTTGCGCGGCGTTCCTGATGAGACCCCAGCTGGGACCACAGATAGTCAGATCAAACAAGGAAGGCACACATCCATCCATTAATGGGTGTATGCCTGGCCAAATAAACACCCTGACTTTACATACACACATGCATAAGACTGGGCTTACAATTCTTTTTGCCTTTCCGTCTATGTTGGCACCCACCCAGTTCTCTTTGGCTTCGCACAGCAGGGGGAAAATATGGCTGATCTCCATGGGAACTGTGTGTGCCGTTCTGCTACAGCTGTGATGTATGTGGTGACACTTTTGACCCTGTGGTGAACTCTATATTGCAGGGGGACTATCCCCCCTGCTATTTGTTGTGTATAGCTCCAGCTAATGGAATATACCAGGGTCATGGTCTGCTACAGATTTTCCTTCCCGTATGAGGAAAAAAAATCTGCTGTCTTTATCATAGAAATGTTTCAATATATTGTTGGTCATTTTCCAGTCACTGTAAGTGATTTCTTGTCAAGAATACATCAAAAACCTGCAACACCAGTAATATTTCTAACATATTACGAATACGTCATTTTTCGGGTTTCAATGACGTATTCGAACTATAATTTTTATCCATTAGTGATAATACAACACAAATTAATTACACAGGTTGGAATTTGAAGTTGCTTATTTTCTCAGCTCTGCATGGATTGTAAATTACACCAAAAATCTGAAAAATGTCTCAAAAGAACTAGAGCACCATATGTCAGCCTATAAGTTTAGCTCTCATTTTTTTTCATTAAAAAGTATCCGTCTGTCCGTTTTTCCATCGATCCATCATCTATGCTAGCATATCCTTATATGTCACATGTTGTGGGCTGGCTGGTCCATTTAACCGGCAATGGGCGAGAGCCAGGATACATCCTAAAAAGTCGGCCAGTAGATAATAAATATTAAATAATATTATAGATTTGTGCAATTTGGATAAATATTTATTCTACATAGACAACAAAGAGGAAAACATATTTCCAATATTGGGGGGGGGGGGGGGGGTGAATTCCACAGGAAAAGAATGTGTTACCTCCATATTTATTCCAACTTAAAATTTTGAAAATCGAACATAGGCTTATGGCTTTACACACATGTTATGAAGTCATCATTACCAGCATTATAAAGGGGGCTCAGCCTCTTTACCAGCATTATAAAGGGGGCTCAGCCTCTTTATACCTAACATATTTAGTTTAGTGTTCCTCTGACTGTAAAAACAATAATGATATTGTGTGAGAAAACACCATGGTACAGTTAAAGAATCTGTGTGAGATCATTAAAAAAGAAATTTGTTAAAATATGTGAGTCTAGTAAAAGGTCTGGAAAGTATTTTAAATCCGCCATTCCAATATAAAGAACATTGTCTAAAAGAGGAGAAAGTCCAAAATGACTCTCATCATGCTTAGCTTTGACTGTCCAAGCAAAGGCTATCCACCATGCATTCTGAGTCATAGTCAAGAGCTCAATCACAATCGGATGCTGTAGGATGACTTAAATTGGGCCGCACAAGCAAGAAACAACTTTAGATGAAAGTGAGAAGTGGTGCAAAATGTCCTCAGCCTGATATCAGGGACTGGGGAATAGCAGAACAAGTTATTTCATTTAAATTGGGTAAGCAATAGGCTATCCTGTATTATAAACCCATTAATATATATATATATATATATATATATATATATATATATATATATATATATATATATATATATATATATAAATTCCATATCCTAATTTTAATTATTCTATAGCCTCTTAGAATTACCCTCTGTTTATATGTACCATTTATATTCAATACATACATAGTCTCTGTGCACATGTAAATAAATATTTATATCCGGTATAGCACCTCTGGATAGATGCAATCGACATTTCGTTGCTTTGTACTTGCGACAGTGTAATAACAATGATGTTGAATTCTATTCTATTCAATAAAGGGGACTGAGCCTGAACCAGAATGGCAATGACCTTAACTATAACAAATATTATAATCTGTGCTTTAAATTCAGTTTGCTGTTGGGAAACCAATCATTTAAATGAACCCAACCAATTCTGATATGGGAAGTGGGGAAAAAACATCCTAATTATTTTAGAAATGTATTGATGTCCACAAAATAATGCCTACAATAGACTCAATCATCCCAATTCAATGCTTGTTTTAAAGCCTTATTGTAGTTTTTTGATCTATGGATCGATCCTGGGTATAATCTGTTAGAAGTGTATCCGCGCGTCTCAATGACAGTGTGTACTGTCCACCTTGATTGTCTTTTAAAGAAGGCAGGAGGAACTAGCAGTTGTTTGGTGACTGGTAGGTTTCACTGTTTGTTTGGCCCTCCACATGGTTTTTGCTGACCTGCCGTCCAGTTTTGTATGTCCTTTTTTGTTACACAACACAACAGCTCTGCAGAGTCTCTGTGGGCATGCATTTTCCATTGACATTTACAAATCATGCACTTTGTTTCATACATAAAAGAGGTTCAAACAAACACAACCTGTGGCCGGATATGCAGGTGAAAACACAATTAGTTTTGTTCTTAGGTCCAGAAACAGAGTGAGTAACGTTGTTGTGTAGCATTGACAGTTACGTATACTTCCACATTCAGTGTCTCAGGCATTGTGACATAAACAAGTATCACTGTCAATGCAGAAACACAACACAAGGAAATGATAAATTTGACTTCTTTTAAAGGTCAGTCAGAAGGTATGTCTTTCTGATGTTCTTGCCAAAAAAAGCACCCCAGGTAAAGATTTTAAAACCTTCAAATTAATAGAAGATAAACTTGAACGGAGCACAACATTTAACTGAAGTAGCCTCTTTATGTGAGAGCAAAAAAAATGCTCTCTTAGAAAATAACCTTCTATGGCACAGTTATTGATACCCTGAAAAACTCCTTTAGATTATAAGTTGCTGAAGGCATTTTCAAAATGTCTTTATTTTCCTAAGTCAATCAGACCCAATGGGGTCGATTAGTTAGAAATTTATACATTCTTAATTACATACTGACACAGAAGCTATTTTTTTGGTTACTGGCCACTTCGTTGGACCCATATCTATTTTATCTCAAGCAGGACGGTATATGGGGGCTAAAATAATATCTTCTGGTATTTTGAGCTCACAGGGTCTCCTTAACCTTTATTAGATTGTATCTCCTTGACAACCAGGTGTTTGAGAGGCTTGTTAAAGAAATAAAAAGGTAAACCATGTCAAAAGTGGAGTGTCGATTAGGCAGATTTCGCTTGGAATCCAGTGGTTCTGAGCTCAAGCCCCACTCCCATAGTCTGCCACTCTGGGTCCCTGAGCAAAGACCTTTTACTCCCACATTGCTCCCCGGGCACCGCACAATTGCACCTGCTGCTCCCCAAGGGGATGGGTTAAATGCAGAGAGTGTATTTCATTGCTCTGTACTTGTGACAGTGTAATGACAATAAAAGCTGGAAAAACTTAAATAAGGAATGAACTTTGGTTCAAATTAAATTCAAATTTAATTTTTTTTCAACAACTTCAATGTCATTTGGCTTGAATCAAAATTAAAAAAAGGAAAAACTCCATGTCTAGTGTGTTAAGTACAGTGATAGATCTGTCATCCTATGGGCCTTTTTTGTTTTCTAAAGACTATAAGAATATTATGCGGGAGCATGGTATTGTTAACTAGTTAGTTCATTAGTACATTTTACATCAAAATGTGTTAGGCTCTGATGATAATGAGTCAGGGTTAATTCTTTCAAATGATGATGATCTAAAACAAATTACGCCATGGGTACCACATCCAACATCACGATGGCCAAAACATAATTTAGAAAAAACAGATGTATAAAAACAAAAACAAAGATCTCTTTGTATTATCTATCAATTTAAAACTGTATAGTTAACAGTATGCTGTGCTGTTGTCTTTTATTTAGTGAAAAAAACATTTAAAACTTTTCTTAACATTTTGTCTTTAACTGAAACAAATGTTTTCAAATTCAAGGTTTGGATGTTATAGACCTTTAACAGTAATATTATGCTTTTCTTTTAAAATGTATCCGAACACTTCTCATTACCTTGCTGTCTTTTTGTCACTCTTGCAGAAATTCATCCTCTCTTCCGTGTTTCCACCACTAGGAGTGCTGTAGCTTTGCAAAAAAAAACAACACAGTGCTCCCAATTTGTCCAGCTCTACTACTCTCTCACTCTGAGGAGCAGAGGAGGAAGGGGAGCTTACTCCCAATAAACACTTGCAAGCAGACACCCTCTTAATCATTCACTTTATTATGCTTTTTCTTTACAGAAACAATCGGTTCCACATTGAACCAGTCGCAGGGGCGATAATATATTGTGAGGGACGGACAGATAATGCAGACAAAGTGGTTGTGGATGACAAAACAAATATATGTTCAAGTGAGATCTTAAAAATAAATCACATTTCCACCACTATGTTAAACAGCCACTAGAAAGAGAAAGAACAATGCATATTGAGCTTTAAGACAACAATACCCAGAGACTTTATCATTTTTCATCCCACAAATGTTTCTTATGTCGTTTCTTCCACATATTTTAATAGGATTTTTTTATTATTCAAGTGCAGAAGGGAGAGTTTACTTGATTTTCTTTTGCAAGTAAAGTGAAGAAAAACCTAAACAAAGAGAACATTCCATGTGTTGTTGCAGCACCTCAGTCCTGTTTGTCCTGCTCTTGGTGCCTAAGGGTCATGACCTCCAAAGATACTCTCAAACCAGCCCTACCACTGGGAAGTCAACGTGCAGGTCTGCAGAAGAGAGGGAGAAAAGTATGCAACAGGTATAAATCCCAAAAAGCAAAACTACAAATGTTTGAATTGGTACTTCCTACAAAAAAGTAAAAAAAACTGAAAATATGTATGAAAATATATCTTTTCAGATATACATATATGTATAGCTTATCGGAAATGTTTACTCTAAACTGTAGAGTTTATTTTTATTTGTGCTCTGTGTAAAAATTACACTTTGCTTCACCTTTACTCTGCCAACAAACTCCCTCCAGAAAAGTAAAAAAAAACAAAAAAAACACAAACCACTGGACTTTGTTTCCAAATTTGGAGAAGTTCCGCTTCCCATCCAGGAAAAAAACCCGTCAGAAATAGCATTGAGTTCTGACATTTTTAATTGAAAACACTGCCTGGATCAGAAGTGGAACATCTTCAAACGTGGAAACAAAGTCCAGGGGATTGTTTTTTAATTTTTATGGAATAACTATAACCTGGATTTCTGAGAACCTTTACGAGAACTCACCCAGAGTTCTCTCATTGTCTAATTGTTTCTAGATCTGAATGAGTATTAGTGGTGCTTAAAAATATATTTACAATCCTTAAACTTCCTAACCTTGACATCACTCATCATCTGAGTCAAAGATTAAAATTTGACAAAGAGAAGGAGAGTAGAAGTTCCAAATAAGAAAATTCAGAAACTTTTTTAAGAGCTATAATTCGGACTCCATGAACGTAAACACATTTTTGAAAACTAGTCCAAATACGTTTTTTGCTTTTGTTGTAAAATAATGTAAACTTTGCTAAAATCTTTCAGACTTAAAAAAGTTTTGGTTTTTCATGGCAGAAGGATTAGTTTGCTTCAGTCCCTACTACAGAAAATATCCCAGCAGCATCATGCTGCCACCCCTGTATAGTTACCACCTCAACTATACAGGGTGATGTGTTCAGGGTGAGGAGGAGCATTCGATTCCCTCAACATGAAATGTTTGATTTTGCTGTATACTGACCAGGACGCCTTTTTGTACGTGTTAATTGTTTTCCCATTTGACTTCTGGCACACTCTAAATTGGATGTCCTTTAGCTTCCTTTCAACATTGCCTTGGTTTCTACCACTTTTATAGAGGCAAGATTTGTAGAGTGCACAACTGATACTTCTCCTGTTGACATTTTCCCACCTGAGACATCTCTGCAGCTCCTCCAAAGTTTCTATGGGTATGCTGGCTATTTTGCACAATAAATTGAAAAGCTGTTATCATAAGTGTGCACGTTGTGTATATATATATCCCAAAAGACAACTTAAAGACAAATATCCATTGGATAATATTCCCAATCCTATATAGCAGCTTTAGGGAAATATAAGCTTCTGATATTCTCAGTGTTCCTGTTGCTAGGGAATAAGGACTTTTAATGAGATGCCAGAGAGGCTGCTGGAGTGATTGGTGTTTTCTACAGCTTTATTGGGCATAGAGCGTCGCTCTTAGCTGCTCTTCTAAACAGCTGCTGCCCGCTTCCACTCAGCACGTTGGGAGAACTACATATCTCCTCTTACAAGAAGACCTGGAACATATGGATCATTTTAGGCTAAATGTGAAAAATAATGCTCATATTTTTTGCTTGACCTTTACTTATTCGTCTCAAAAGTTTCCACATTATTCGTCCCTTTGTGCAAATGTTTGACCCATTGAGTTGATTCTATTCAATAGTCATGTCATTTAAGAGGGCAACCTCCAGAAAGGTATTTATAGGTATCAAACTAAACAAATATTAGTAGAAAAACAAATTACATATTTATGTTAATTTGTTTTGTCTTTAAAGCAGGAGAAGCAAGAACCAGAAAGCTATCTCTTTGTTTTCTGCTTATGCACTTATTTTGTGTTGTGAAGTTAGAAAATGTAAGAACGTTTATGGATTACAAAGGTTTTTAATATCTTTGCTATGTACTCTATGAAACGTACATGGCCTGCCAATCACTAGTTGTGGTCATCACGGTTGGGGACAGTCATGAGTCCTGTCTACCCCTCCCCTTCCCTGCCTGTGGTCCTGCCACCGTCGTTGAGTGGGTGACCTTTTCTCTCGGCTAATCCACACCAAAAAGCCCTAATTACTGCTGCCGCTCCACCGGCCTCCTCTGACCCAATAATCAATACAGCCGATTGGCTGGCGGATCGCCCCGTCAGGCACCGGAGCTTTACATGCACCTCAGAGTTAAGTCTGCATGTCTTAGCGTACGTGCTTATATGTATGCCACACCACAGTACAACAATGCTGATTTCAGCGTAAGACATTACAAGAGAAAAAGAAGGTAAGGACTTAAAGGAGACTGCGTTTGGATCGGCCGCTACGGCAACAGAAAAAATAAACAGTGGTTGACTACAAAGTAAACCACACACATACTTGTATTTACACATTCCTCCCTGCGAGCTGAATGTTGTGACACTGGTTGACCTTATTGAGCTGCTGTTGTGTAAAGAGTCCCTGATTAGAATATCTTCTCTTTAACCTTTAGTAGAGTGATGCATCTTTGGGTAGCAAAGAAATAAGGTAGGTGTTTATAGCAAGAAGCAAAAGTGTTTCAGCAAACATTTTATTTCACTAAAATTCTTGATGGCATTCTCATATAGAGTGCTTCCCCCCTTTTTTTTTTTTTTTTTTGTGCTTGCAGACAATATAAAGGACCGAAAGAATGTGGAGCTAAATCTGTCTCCATTTTCACAAATACACATATGTGATTCATACATGGACAGGACAAGCTCCATGCACACACACACACAGCACGATTCGCGCAAGCACAAAAAAATCCACACAGTAATAAAAGGAGCGGAGCGGTGACTGATCATTATTAGTGGTTATCAGTCCCATTGAATGGCTTCAGATTGTGCCAGTAGGCTCAGTAGGTTGTTATCATCAAGTGAATCCTAACCCTAAAGTAATTCCTTTCCCCCTACGGAATTTATTAATCTGTTTATGTGTAATCTGAAAATAATTTCAGTAGTTCCTCATGTGCTGTAAAAATAAATAAATAAAACTAAAATGATCCGCATGTCACTCATATTAAACAAACTAAAAACAAATAAATCTCATATCCAGTCACTGAGGTGTAGAATCCTCTCCCTATAAATATTTAATGAAAAAATGCAGATCATTCTTTTATAAGATCCTCATCTAACGGACATGCAATGTTTGTTTTTTAAACCTAATGTGTGTAACGAACGAAGGGAATTATTTCTTTTGTTGTTTTATGCACAAACTACGAGAAAAAACCTGACTAAATCGCGAAATATAACAGCATGATTGGATGTACTGTAAGGAGAATGGAGACAGAGGTAATATGTATTTCTAAGGGTTTGCTGGCCTGACGCGGTATGCTGAGCTAACAGAACACCGGAGCAGAGCAAATAGTCATCCCACATGGATTACTTTCTTGTGATTGGCTTATACAAGGGAGCTCTGTGATTGGTTGCAAACCATCCCCTGTATAAAAAAATGCATTTGTGTATTGAGGCACGTCAGGAGAGTCTCAAAAATCCACACACAAATGCAGAGAATTTTAAAGACTTTGTAATTTAATCTATAATTGTTTATGGACCAGAACTACTTTGACAAATCATGTGCTATGCATGTTTGAATCTTGTATGCTTGCGTGAATTGTGCTGTGTGTGTGGAGCTTGTCCTGTGTATGCATGAATCACATATGCGTATTTGTGAAAAATGAGACTGATTTAGCTCCATAAAAGACTGTGTTGCCTAAAGCACTTGTTCGTTTATTGTCACATCTTCTGCTTATTTTCCCCATGCATATATATTTTTGCCTACTTGTGCATGCCTGTAAGGCCTGAGGATACCAAATAAGATGCAACATGATATGGAAAGGTGGACCTAAATTTTAGACACCCACAACATGCAAAAAAATAAATAAATGAAATAAAACCAAGGTAAGCAATCTTTCCCTCTACCTTTCCCTTCCTTTCTTTCTCTGTCATTCTCTTCTGCTGACAGTCTTTGGTTCTATTAGACAAGTTAATGAAAAGCAACAGAGAAGAGCCGACTGGCAGCCTGCACCTGTCAGGGTGTACGTCTGTATATGCATACCTGCCAGTGTCCGTCACACTGTCTTCTATCCTCAGGCATGCCAGTCAACGTGGTGATGAGACATTAGGAGTGATGAGAACCTCATCTATGCCTTCGAGGCGAGCTCCCTTCCACCGACAGGAAAATGTTGATGAATATAATCATATTTTCCCCTACGAAGTGAAGAGAGAATTTTAGGTAAGGCATCATGTGTACAGCACAGCAGAAACTAAAAATGTTATGACCTGCTTGCTGTGTCAGAAAAAATCTTAAATCTACAAGTATATTATCTGGTAAGACTTGTTACCTGTTGTGAGGTGACTTCCCTGAATTTCTCTTAGGATTTTTCTGTTTTTGGTTTATTTTCATAGTACAGTATGTCAAATTTTTACTTTCAGGTGTTGCATTTCATCCCCTTCATCAACTTTTGCAGTTTTGTACCTGTTATTTGTTGGCTAGAAACTAATTTTCTTCTTTAAAGAACTGTTTAAAAATAACAATATCAAGTTGAAAAACGTGGCTGAAAGGTATCTTTATACCTGACCAGGGTTTGATAAACTTTTAGGCACATTATTTCTTACAATTATTAGTCTGCGTACAGTAGCTCTACATTTACAATTTCCTTCACTTTTGTTTATCTGCAATATTTCATCAAGGTATTTTACAGATCAAACTCAATTTATATCTAGAAATATGTAGTTGTGTCAGTCTAATATGATATAGCTATATAGACAGATTCAAATGCAGTAGCATCTGTTCCAGTTTGATTCATCCATCCATATTCTCCGGCTTATTCCGTCAGGAAACGGTTGGGCCGGTCCCTATCTCTGGCAGTCTATGGGCAAGAGGCAGGGTAGAGCCTGGACAGGTTGTCATTCTGTCATAGGGACACCCAGAGTTGCACACATTGTAGTTTCATTCTAGTTCTAATTCAAAGCAACTGAATTCTACTGATAAAAAAATCTTATTTAAAAACTTAGTCCTACATTAAGTCTGTTTAATCTCATTAGGTCATTGACTTTGCAATAATTCTTCCTATGAAGCAAGCATGCGGTGACAGTGGAAAAAAAACAGCTTTTGACTTGAACAGACCTCCTTTAGAACCATCTTTAATTTAAGATACAACTGATTGGAGATGAGATTGGGTCAGGAAAAAGCTAAGTAAAAATTACAAAAGCACTGGACCAGGGTTAATTTCCCTAAGAATGTATCCACTCTCATTTATTAACAGCAGCAGCTTGGTTTGTGTAGGGGTAAAACACAGCTAAATATAGAAACAGACCTGCTTGAACGATAATGGGCACCCCGGTGTATGTTTGGCTTTGACACAAAACAATACTATTTATTATAAAAATATTTTTTTTTTATCAAAATAAAACTAGGAATTTACTTTTAACAGAGAGATCTGCAAATGATTGTGAATCAAAACCATGCCTACATTAGGCAACCATGAACATTTGTTTCCATAATGTATCTTCTAAAAACAATTTTACACTTAACTGCTAAGAAAAATACATTTTCTTTTGTAGTTATTTGTCAAGGTACAAAAGTGAAACATCAATGCAACTTCTTTAGAAAACCTTTTTTAGTTACCTCTCTATTCATGCGCCTCTTGCTGAATGTTTTCATTTTCAGTCTATGTTTTAGAAATAGATTTAAATATGCTATGATGCTCATCCACACTTTACAAGAACTCTGTCAACAATTTGCATTAAAATATCCGTCATTTGCATTGTGCTGCTTTCTTAGAGCCTTCTACTTCTTGGTGTTGATTCCAAAGGTTTGCATAACAAACATTTTAATTTACATTGCCAAAAAAGGGGAACAGATTTTTGTACAGACTATATGATTAAAACAAAGATAAAAGTTGAAGTGATATCTAGCTTAAATCTAGCTTATAACCTTTGTAAAAAAAAATATATATATATATAATAAATATATAATAAAAATATATTTTTATTTATGTATTTTTTTTTATAAACTCTCATGTTTTAAGAAATATATTGTTATGCTGGCATCAACTTTTAAATAATATTCAATTTGCACTGATGACCAAGCTGTATTAATCATACTGTCCATGTAAAGAAGTAATAGGCACATTTTGTCAGCAGGGGTTGATAAGGTGACACCATTACTGAGCTCTGTGGTCAGCTGTGAATTATCCACCAGCTCCCTGTTCAGAGAGACAATAACTCCTGGGTATACACTGCTATGACATTTCATTTTCTGCCATGTATAAAGCATTGTGACTTAGAAACATAGATTCACTGATATATAGTGGATTTTGTTAAAATATTTTTTGATAGGAAAAAGTCATTTACACTGCATTCAGCTTAATGCAAGAATCATATAGGTAATGGGATGTTTTGGTTAATTTAAAAATGAAAAATGCATTTAACGCAACTATAACTGGAATTATGTAATTCCTGAAAGGAATTAATTACACATTTTACTGAGAACCATGACCCCGGATATGTGTGGATAGACTAACTCTATCTTTACAGATATTAACCCTCTTGTTCTACTAATGTGCCTGAATTTAATACTGCAGAATAATGGTCTTGGGACAGATGATAAATTTGATATAAATATATTTAAATGATAGTATCTTAAGTTACACGATTCCTCGTTTTACCAGATTTATTCAATATTTAACAATTCAAACTGAAATGTTCATTTTTGTGGGAGACCTTTGCTGTATAATTTGATATTGCCCATCTAGGCTTTCAAAAGATGACTTTTAAGGTTTCATATTTTCTTGAAAAAAAAAAACCCTTTGTGTTAGAACCCAAAGTCCCGTTTGTAGATGCTTCTGGGTGTATCACCCTAGCTTATCAGTTGTCAGTCATCAGTTGCTTTTCAAGGTTTCAGAGTTGTTTATCCAACCACTTACAATCAGCTGTTTAGGTGCAATGATAAAACAAGCAGCCTCAGCCAACATAACTTTGCTATGTAGCAGAAATGTAATTTTTCTCAGAAAACTGAAAAAAAGTAAAAATTTTACCTTGTGAAAGTTTAGACAGATATTTTACCACCCTCTGACATGGCTTTGCAAGATTCAGTGATTAATTTGGGTTAAATTGCCAAAACTAGCTTGACTCTGGGTCTGACAAGCTGTTAGTTTCCATCATTCAAACTTTGAAAAACTGCAAAACTATTACTTACGGTAACCAAATGCAATCAAAACAAATATGCCCAAGTTGCCTCAAGTTGTAGTAGTTTTTGTCTGATGTAAAACGTTCAAGAGTGTGTAAGTGAGACAAAAATGCAATAAAGAGCAGAAATCTGAAAAGGGTGAAATCATTTTTCACTACACTGTATCACAGTATTGCAAGAAGATATCATTAATTCACAGACTGTTAGTAATGAACACATGCAAAAAAACAACAACTTTGATTTAAAACTGCAACTTTTTTAGAACTTCAAATTTTTATTTGGAGAGATTAGCCTCATGTTTCTCTGGCCGCAAACTGTGCTATTGCAGTTGGTACATGTGTGCGTTTCAGTGTGTGAAGACGAATGCACTCCCACAGAGAGCTCTCCAAGCCAGCCTGGCCTGCTGAGTGAAACCCTGTGGTAATGTTTAGCTTATGGGGTGAAAAAGAGGGTGAGTGGAGAAAGGATGGGGGAAGGATGAGGGGATGACAGGACTGGAGAGGAGAGTTAGGGAAGGAGAGTGAAGAGGACTGCAGCTGAAGCAAGGGAAGAATGGGTCACAGAGTGACAGGGGAGACTGAGGGAAGGAAGGATGAAAGGTCCAATCGGGATGGAACACAGGAGGCTTCCCGCTTCGGCTTGTCAGTCAGTCGTCTCTCACTGACACCTGAACCTCCGTTGACCGGGTCGTGACTGCCTCTTTGGAACAGGAGATATCATTGGGGTGGATGACCCTTAACCTCCTCAAGCCCTCACTTTGCCGTCTGAAGCATCTCTTTACCCCCTTCCTCGCTTTCATTTGTTTTCAGATTTTTCACCTCCAACCCACCTGCAGTTTGGCTTAGCAGCCACTGAAGCAATGCAGGTTAATTAACGTTTCCTAAAGTAAAGAATTTACACCTACACTGCCTTGTTACAGTACTCATACCCATTTAGTCATCCTACAGGCAAAAGCTAATGTATTCTTTTGAGATTCTTTGTGATTGAGAGACACAAAGTATGTCATACTTATGAAATAAAACACATGAAATATGCTTTCCTGACAGATAAAATACTGAAATTGTGACTTGCATATATTAAATTCCCTTTCATATGTAACCATTTGATAAAAGCCAACACTCCTAGGGACAATCAGAAGTTACCTAATAAGTAAAGAAAGTCATCCTGTATGTATATAGATGTTTCTTTAAGACCTTAGACGATTTTTAGAGAAAATGAGTGAACAAAGAGAACAATAAATACCAAAGAACCATGTAAACAGATCGGGAATATTGTCATAAAAAAGTTTGATGCAGGGCAAAATTGTTTATTCCCAGGCTTGAGACTTCTCAAGGGAAACTGTTGAGGAGCATGATAAAAAGCATTGATTGAAGAAGCAGCCAAAGGACACGGCTGCAGAGAGTTACAGCTTTAGAATAGGGGAGTCTTTCAGCAAGACAGCCTTTGAATAAAAGTCTAAGAAATGTTTAAAGTTTTTTTGGTTTAGGAAACTTGCCAGCTGATGAGGAGATAAACACAGAGGGACTAAACACAGCGCAGTCTTGGGAGAAAATCTTGTTAAGGCTGCTAAAGGGACTGAGGCAGTGGTTGCCTCCTAGCAGTAATTATCTCCCTAAAAACACAACTAGTGGTACAATAGAAGAGTTTATATTAAAATGTACTATGTAGTCAAAGTAAAGACCTAAAAGCAATGAAAGGTGATGTTCACATGTAATATTAGTGACTGTTAGCTGTTTTAAAAGAAAGAGTTGGTAAAATGTTCTATGCCTAGAACTAAAAAGTTGGTAGAAACATTCTTTGTACGATATATATAATTTTTGGACCTGTTTATATCAGAAGAACTCTGACAAATATATCAGCATCTAGGAAAAAGGTCTCCCACCCCATTCGTGCATAACAGTGTAATCAGATAACATCTGTAGCAACATATTCGCTAAAACAGAGGAGTAGCTTACTGTACATCGCTTTTTCTGGGCTGTGGTAGAGTAATTAATTATCACTGTAATAAAAAACAAAA